CGTCGATATTGATTTTTAACAGGAAAAGGAATGAAAAGAATAATGACTTGCCGCCATTATACTTACTGTAACTACTGTTACTAGTTAAATTTATCGTTTTGTTAACTGTTTACATTCGGCCGGAGGGGTTTTTCTTTCAACGTTCGACTTAAACCGTTTGTATTGTTTTCGTTAAATTGTCCACCTCCGGCCCAAACGAAGCAATTATGAACGAAGCGTAAGAGACGCGACCGAAAATATTTTATTATCAATACCGCCGGTTATCAACTTGATCCGCGTTGTTTACACTATTAACAGCTGCTGTTCTCCGTTTTCTGCGGCCGCCGACGGGATGATCGCCGTGACATGCGAAACGACTTTTAAACGAACCGCACAGTACACTGTGTACACATACACATTACGCTACACGACTACGCACTCGGCCAGAGAAAAATTGCCGTCGCCTACTGCCGACCGGTCGCAATGAACGTTAGATCCGGAAAGGACACGCAGACGTCAGTTTTCCCGGACGCCGTTTCGCGCCCGTAAACTCGCTGTTGGACGGGGCTGTATTGACGCGCGTTTTCGTTTAGCGCGCTCTATTTATATAGTAACGGAGTTTATAATAAGCTCGTTATTGTGCGCTAAAACGTACAAAGATGGTTTTTTTTTTTTTTTCAATTATTATTATTATTATACTGTGTGGAAAAACACTATCGGAAATCTAGCTCCAATATATACGCGGCGGCTCCATCACTGAATGTAAAACGTTGTCCACGTTGTTATTTTATGATTATCCAAGCGGTTTTCATAATATCCGGGAAAAACCAGGTTAAAGCATAAGAATAACGGTAAATGTACGAAAATAATGATTTTATTATACGAGGGCTAATCAAAGAGTATCGAGACTGGTAGTATCATTCGGAAAAGGAGCATCGAAGAACAGTAGGATTGGTATTACTTGCTTCTATGACTCATACTGAGCACATCTGTTCGTATGAAATCTCTATAAACTTCTTCGTTTTGATTTGACGATATTTTTCTAAAATTTGTTTTTCACGTTTGGCGATTTCGCAACGAATCCAAAAGAAGCGGAACTTGCTGCCACTCGGGGGCACATTTTTAATTTTTTCAATTGACATTTAACGGCAAAAACCATGAAATGTTGCATCCCTCTGAAACTGGAAAAAAATGCAGAACAATTTTCTAAAATCTCCAAATCTGTCAAGTTACTCTTCTTTTGGGTTTATTACAAAATCGCCAAACTCGAAAAATATATTTTACAAAAATATCAGTGAAATCAAACCGAAGAATTTTATAGAGAAGCAATAAAAACAAATGTACTCAGAAAAAGTCATAGAAGCGAGTGATACCAATCCAATACTGCTCTTCGATGCTCCTTTTCCGAATGATACTACCAGTCTTGATACTTTTTGATTAGCCCTCGTATTATGTTATTTGTTGTAATTCAGTTAAAAATATTCGTTAAGACTAAACAATTTTGACATAAAACTTATATTTGCATTTTCCAGACGTAGTAAAGTTTTCGAAAAATGTAAGCCATTTTTGGGCTATTTATAGACATTTAAATTTTGCGAGTTTTGTACGTAATTTTTATTCGGCAGGTACTCTGTACAGAAATTATTGAACATTTAACAGGAGGTTTATTAAAATTCTTACTTTGTGGTCAAAGGTTTCAGTGAGGTCGCAACGATAGCGCTTTTTCACATTATCTTGGGACGTCTAATTAAATAAATATTCTCGAAAATTTTGTTCGTTGGTCAATCACTCTTTCAAAATGTAAATTGAATCGTTTTCATTTGATACGTGTGTATACTATACTAGTTATTATAATCGATCGAGTTTGACCAGATCCGATTTAGGCAAGATTGTATCCATTTTTTTTTTTAAAGAACGTTCCGTTAAATTTTCAAGAGACGATAAATTTTACCGATTTTCATTAAACATCACACTTTTGTCGCGATTTCGTGATTGCGTTGTAATATTTTACACCCATACAAATACTATGAAAACGTTCGATAATTAATATTGGATTATCCGCGTTTTATTGTACGTGCACGCTCGTAGGGCCGATGCACAAGTGGAGTTGAAGTACCGGTATTGGCGAGTTAAATATTACCGATCGGAGTATAATATATTCTATCTGCGCCACCGGCTGGCAAAGTCGAACGAAAATATCGTTTTTTTTTTTTTTTTTTTTTTTCCGACGATATCGATGCGTCACTATACCGCGCGAGATCGCCGCGCCGATTGTCGATATGTCGTCCTCGGATCGTCCGTATAAATATTACAGCGTATTGTATCGTATTAATGTACCGCGCGTTTCGTACACAATGATAACGGATGCGTTACAATCGATTTGCATAGCGTCGCGATACAATAACTAATGTTATTTTCGCCGCGTAAACACGATGATACGATTTAATAACAACCGTACGTCATAAACCGCGTGTTATTATAGCCGGTACCTATAGACGGGTACGCGCCACGAGGCGTTAGGGGCGCAAGCTGCACGGCTAACCGGGCGTACACCGCGTCGGCGTAACACAGTAGCATATTAATAACGATATTACGGTGTTGAACGTTGTTTTACGTGTTGATTTATAATCGCCCGCCGACGGTAATTACACCAACGAATTAAAACGCATTACGCCCGCGTTTACCTATATTAATATCATAGGATCGGTACCGTTGTCGTTACGGATATAATCTGTCGGTCCGCCGCCAGGGCACGTCCGCGACGACGACGACGACGACCACGACGACCACGACAATGATTAATAATAATAATTAGTGACGGACAATACCGAACGGTTTATACTATCGACGGTCTGGACGAACTATCGAATCCGTTATTTTCCCCCGGTGTTAAAGGGGGTTGCGGGGAGCGCGACGAGCTCCTGTCCTGTGTACACGCACACAAGGTATATAGGGATTTAGACGCGTTTTATTTCCAACGTACCGATTGATCTATAGGGGAACGATAAGAATTTCGAAAGCAGATTTGAATTTGCCTTGAGGTCTGCTCGAGATTTAACATTCCATTTTTAGATTCTGTGTGAGGCGAGGACTTGCTCGGATGATTTCTACGTGTAGAACCTTTTTTTTTGAAAGGAAATCGATGTGGGGGGGTACTTCAGGGAGGTCATTTTTGGATTTTCTCATCAAATACGAAAAATCGGAAAAAAAAAACGGGAAAATGTACGACACACTAGAATATTTTTTTTTTTTTTTTTTGTGAACAACCAATTGCAATTTTGCTACAACTTTTGATGACAGAAATGTTTTTAAAAGGAAATTTCACTAGCGAGGTACTTTAGAGAGATCATTTTTCGATTTTTCAGGAGTTTTCCTAGCAAATGTGAAAAACCGAGATAGAATACGGGAAAACCTGGAAAAACTTCAGTAACAGTAACAGTCGATGTCATTATCAATCTTCAAGTAAAAATAAATAATAAGGTAAACAAATATATTTTAGTATACCTATTTTATTAATTATCGTTTAAATCAATTATCTTGTTAGTAAAACAATATGAGAAATATATTAGGTAAATTTCATGATTATTTCATAATATTACTTTATAGGTAACACTGTCATTTATAAAGTACAGTATACATATGGTTTATATTAGAGAGTCTATATAAGAAGAGAGGGGCCAATTCGCTAATGCCGTTTGATATGGACCGTCTACTATTGGTCCATCGGTGTTGCACAACGAAAAATATTACTAAATTATCGTATACGACCGTTTTTAAACAGTTCTCGTAATATATATTGTATTTGAATTTGAATTGTATTATTAAGTGAATCTTCGCGTAAAGTTGATGAGTTTCACGAACATTCACCACTTCATACTGGGTATTGGAACAGGGGCGAATCTGAAGCTTGTTTAAGGAGAGGGGGGGCTAATTAGAATATGTATTATGTATATCTGTATACCTATATCAAAAATATCAAATTAATCAGTAAAAAAAAAAAAAAAAAAGTGAGCTAATACTGAGAACGGGTGCAACCACTGTTGTATGTGGGAAGTGGGGATGGTAAGATACATCGAGTTATTTCATTTATATCTATACGCCACTCTCTTGCCACTCTTGTTTTATAGACTCTCTAGTTTATATAATTGTCCGTTTCATGAAATTGATGTCCCATGTCCATATCATGTATTGTCGTCAAAAATTCACATACACAATACATTATGTTTAAAGACGGAAAATAAAACGATTAATCGATTAATCGATTCTCTGTTCGAATCGAGAGTCCTATGCGGGTGGGTGCACACGTAAAAACGTCGCGGTTACAAATCTGTATGACAAAACTCACCGCAGACATAGCGGCCCGAGATTTTTCGACATGCGGGTGACAGGACCGTATCGGTTAAAAAAGAAATATAAGAACTCTGTCGAACAATATAAAAACGAGACGTCGGCGTACGACGATGGGTTACAATACGGCGGAGTAAACTCATGCACGTATCATGCGTAGAAGGGACGATATTAAGGGAAGAGAAAGCCCCGGAACAAGTATTCGAACAATAAAAGCGGAGAGAGTAGAATCGAAGAGGTTCCGTGCGCTTCGAGTAAGCCAAAAAAAAAAAAAAGGTAAGCGAATATTATAATATTTCGACGGTCGAAAACTGCGGTATAAAAAGGGGCTCACACTCGAATAATTTCTGATTATTTTTTTATCATTTTCTGGATTTCCCTCGGCGGCCTTTATTATTCGTCATACCCGGAATCATGCGATTGAAATTATTGTTATTATCAGCGCGATTTAAAAAAAAAAAACCGATAACGGTGCGATGATCGAACCTTTTACGTTTTTGTCATATATGTACCGGTGCGATCGGTGTAAATGACATACAAGACTTTATTTTCTTCTTTTTTTTTTTTTAATTGCCACGAATGCAACGGTGCCATAAAATATGTATATAACGCGTTGTATTCGAAGTAAATATCAACGTACCTACATTTTATTATACATTAACTTCTTCTTCTTCTTCTTCTTCTTCTTCTTCTTCTTCTCAGGCTTATTACAGTCCGTTTAGGACCATTGCCATTCGCGTTATGCTATTCCGCTTCTTTCTCGCGTCGATTTTCTTCCGGCTCTTTTCAGCTGTACCGTACCATCACTGCTCAGATCTACGTGTTAAATTTAGATTCAGAGTGGAGCCAAGAAGTTAATGGTTTTTTTGCTCTGTGGACAAATTTTCTATCTGCAATTTTGTTCCAAATTATGATGATAGCCATCTTTCTAAAAGAAAATTTCACTGGGAGGTACTTTAAAGAGGTCGTTTTTCGATTTTCTCCGGAATTTTCTCAACAAATGTGAAAATGGGAAAAACATAGGAAAAACGGGATCCATTTTAATTTCGGAATTGTAATAATTGGAATTTTACCATAATATGATATATATATATATTGTTGACAAAGCGACACTATCAACTGAGCTCCGCTCAGAATCGTTTTTTTTTTCAACAATGGTTTATCGTTGCTTACAGATGTACATTAAATTACTTATAACAATGTTTTTTTCCCTGTCAACATGTGTTTCGCGTTTTTATTAACGAACTAACCCTTCGATGCATGCGATGATGTGCTGTCCATTCCGATCTCTTTCCTACTAGAAAATATCGCACACACTGCTCGCTGTACGGCAGCAGCATGGTTTTCAACGGTTATTCGCCTCTGGAAACTTTCCGAGTCATTATTATACCCGACCCCTCCTCGGTATTTTCTCATTGAAATCCTGTAGTTTTTCTTCATCTCTCTAAGTGCCGGACCACGACTCGCGTAACCCGTACATGAATAATACGTACAGGTCGCATGTACGTAGACGCTCCTTTGTACTTGCGTCCGTAACTCGGACGACAACGTTTCTTTCATTGTGAAGTTGTGCATAATCTGTCCGCCGCATTATACAGTCTCGTTCAAATTTCACTATGCATAATGCATATTATATTGGTTTTTCGTTTGTGTCGATTCCCGCGTATGTCTCCTGCCTATAAATATACAGTATACGGTATACCTGCAGATACATAAAAGGTACGTAATTTTTTTTTTTCCAGGCGAAATACATATACGACTTTTTATTTATATCGGTATACTGTTTTTGTATCCTGACGGCGGCGGCGGTGACAATATAACGCGTCCCGAGACAGCATATTATAAATCACCCTGTCTTTGTGTGTACGCGGAGTGCGGGCGTTTATAGCAATATTTTTTAAAAATATCGCACGTCGAAAACCCGAAAATTATAAAACGACGCACGTAACATTATTATTATCATCGCCATCGTCATCCCACGCCGCACGGTTACTGTTCGCAATGTCGTGATATTATGTAGCTATGTACGTAGGTAATAAATAATAATAATAACAATAATAATATAGGTAGTATTTCGGGGAGTTTGTAATTTGCACCGGTGCACGGGTAGCCGAAAACGGTGTTTGTAATAATTTGCACCGCCGTATGTAGTTGAAAAATATTGTTTGTAATTTGCATCAAAACGAGTATCTACGTATTCGATTATCGAGTGCCTATTCGATTGACCCACAGTGGTGTAACGGATAATTTAAGCCGACTCTAAGATAAGTTTATCGCTACACCACTATGTGTCTAAAGAATAAACTTATTAACACACACGCGTTTCATAAAACATTTTTATTCCATTATTCGATTGATATTTTCAAACTTTCTTATATTTTTTATGTTATTTCATTTTCTCACTTAAAATGATAAAATATATATATATATATATAAATATATTCTATTTCCGGGATTCCTGATTACCGTGACGCCACCTCATCTGGTAACCATTTCAAAATTTGACGGTCGATTTTCCGTGGCAATCCCGTAATTTATTATTTTGACCAAATACTAAATCTAAGTCTTTCAGACTGTATATTATTGTTATAAGGTAGCTTACGAGTCAATAAAACGATTGCAAGCAAAACGGTGTAAATAGGTAAGTGAAATAACCATTCATAATCGAAACGGAATATTCCGCGCCTTCTCACAATTCAGTATATTATACTCAAATACCAACACGTGTACCTGCGTACATACTATCGGAAGAATAATCGATTTGAATTTCGGCGCGAATTGCAATTCTCTTTTTTCTCACTACCCCAGATGGTGGTGCACAATACATATCCTTATTTCGGTGGAAGTTACAAGGCGCAGTTAAAAATGTTGGTGCAAATTACAAATGTTGTGTACGTTGACGGTCAATTTGCACCAAAATTGACCGGCACCCGCGTTTCGATGTATATTCGTGTGTTTGTGCGAACGCGTAACTCGGTTATTAAAATGTTATAAAAAAAAAAAAAATGATGATCCAATCGCATTACAACAGTCCCATAACGTATATTTAGATACGCCGGCCTTCGATGACCGACTACAATATATTACAATAGACCGACGATTATATTACAGTCGACCCGAATACACTCAATACCCGCAGCAGAAATAATAATTTTAACCGTCGGGCTGGCGGATATGAATATTGTAAACAAATATCGCCATAATCGTTACGATTCGACAGTGGCGGCGCTAGGGGATGGTACAAATGCACGGTTACAAGTGTCCAGGGCCCCGCACTTGATTTGGTTTTAACGGGCCCCGCGGTGTATTATTATGTAAGTGTACAATCATCGGTTAATACTAAAGTCTTGTCCAGAGTTTCTCACGTGTTCCGATTGCGGTCCGAGTACAGAATATTTCGAGTACCCAATTTGAATGATTTTTTTCTTTATAAAATCATAAAAAAAAAAAAAAAAACGAATAAACAAATACTTAAATATTTACATAATTTGTACGCTTTTTTTCTCCGGTAGTTTATAGTTTTCAGAAATGTATTTTGCCTTTAGAAAAATCTGATTTTAACTTATCGGACGTGTTCCCTGTGACGACTGCGACGAACAAATCGCATTAAATTCAGACATTTACCTACATAAATTTATGTCTACAGACGCTTCAAACTTTTCAAACATTTTTCGTTCGTTTGTCTCGACGATTTTAGAGGCCGTCACAGTCGCATTTGCAGACTCTGATTTTTTTAACGGGCTAACGAAAAGAGCTTTAGGTTTTAAAGATAAAACCTTTAGTATTATGTGCTTCAATTTCTAAACAGCCGCGTATCGAAAACCACTTCGTCGGCGTTAATTCTCTAACCTAATTAAAATAATTATCGATGATATACAAAAATTTCATATTTTACATTTATTCGTTTTTAATTAAAATTTAAAAAAGACGGACATACCTAGTTCGCACGTGGGTGCAGTCACTGTTGTAGGTGGGAAGTTTGGAAGGTAGAATATACAAAATGGGATTTTAATGTATATCCGTAGGCAACGATAAACCATTGCTAACGATAAAACGATTCTGAGCGAAATTCAGTGATGCTTTGTAAACAATATATATATATTATATTTTACATTTTAACTGTAATATACCTGATGATGAATTTATAAACCGGTCGTATAATATAGTTATCATAATACTCCAGGCGACGCGTTCATTTGATTCATTTCTTTATTTTAATTTTATATATACATTTTTAATTTTGAGCGTAGCAAAAAAAAATGTATTGATTTTACGAGTATGTTAATTTTTTTCCTTTTTCTTTTTTTATTTAGTGTACAAAATTTTGATCATAAATCTTGCTCGGATATATACGCGCGGCAAAATTTCCGAAAGGGGATTTTCTCCATATGGTACTTTTAGGAAGTCATTTTTTGATTTTCCAAGCGGTTTTCATAATATTTGGGAATAATCAGGATAAAACATAAGAAAAACGAAAAATGTACGAAAATAATGCTTTTATTATTTTTAATTGTGTTATTATGTTATTGTGTTACTTATTGTAATGCAGTTAAAAATATTTGACTTGAAATTAAGACAGAAAATGAATGTTTGCCTTATCTATACGAAGTAAAGTTTTCAAAACATTTGAGTCATTTTTAGGCTTTTTCTAAAAATTTAAAATTGAAACATAGTTAAAAATGTTCGTATCAAATCGATAGACTTAAAATTTGGACGGAAAATTCATATTTGCATTTACTAGACGTGGTAAAATTTTCAAAAAATTCAAGCCATTTTTTTTGAGCTATTTATAGACATTTTAATTTTGCGAGTTTTGTACGTAATTTTTATTTTTATTTTTATTTTTATTTTAAGATTGTTAATAGACTTATAAGAAATTATTGAATATTTAACAGGAGTCACTTAGAGTATTATTTGTGGTCAAAGGTTTGATTGAGGTTACAATGATAACACTTGTTCTGAAAGTAAAACTGAGAATGTACTTTCGGGAAGTTATTTTTTGATTTTCCCAGCGAATGTGAAAAATCGGGAAAATCGGCAAAACCGGTACAATATTAAACAAATATTATTAAAAAAAATGTATAATGCCTATTTAATTATTTTACCATAATGTGACATATATTGACAAAGCATCACCATCAACCGAACTGCGTTCAGAATTGTTTTTTCGTTAGCAATGGTCGTATCGTTGTATCGTTGCTTATAAATATACATTGAATTACCTATAACAATAGCTACACTAATCTCCATTATCTTGGGACTCTTATTAAATTATATTTTCTCGAAAATTTTGTTCGTTAGTTCATTGCTCTTTCAAAATGAGGGACTAATGCGTTATATGCACCCGGTCCTCGAATGGAAAACGCATAATGCATACGGATTCGCTACATAAACGGGGCCGAGGACCAGCGTTTTTGACCCCCGTAAAGATATTTTTAATTATTTTTTGTATTTTAAAACCCTGATCCTTCGCCAGTCCTGCCGAAGAAAACGGTAGGTGTAAGTCGTAACCATTCGTACGGTTATTTAGTAAAAACATTTCGGATTCGTCATACCATTAAAAAATATGATGCGGGTTTTCCATTTGATTCTGTATTTGAGTTTTTTTTTTTCTTATTGCGAAATTTCTGATTAAAATCCCGATTAAAAATCGGTTTTTATGGCTTTTTTTTTTTTTCATTTTCAAATCTTTTTCTCGGGTTATACGGGAAAATATCGCCGCTTTTCACACGATACCGCGAAATACGCGGAATTCATTTATCGGAAATATTCATTAGTTCGGCTATATTAGGTGCTTTTTTTTCTTTCTATTTCGAACCGCCGTTTCTTCGGTTCGCGGTGATTTATCGTCGCCGACCGTGTAATACGAATTAAGTCACCCTGTATAATAACCTACGTTTCCCGATGACTACGCCAACGGCGTGTCCTGTACCGGTGAGCAGCGTCGACTTATTTATTTATTTTTTTTTTTTTTTCATTTTTTTTTTTTTTACTTTGTTCGTTTATCCGCGCGATTGGATTTTATCCAGAGTCTGGCGGAGAAGAAAAATATTTATAATAACGAACGCGAAACGCCCCGGCCGCTACATTTCCGGATAACGCAAATAATACTGAAAAATATTGTATTATACTTTATTACGACGTTATGGAAAACTACGCGTCGAGACGGATTAATATTCTTCTTCCGCGTGTTTCGTTCGGTCGCGATTCATAATAAATTATAACTCGGCGCCGTCGTACTACCCCTACAGTAATATTATTATTATTATTGTTATTGAAAGTTATAACTTATACCTACCGGCATGACGGGGGAAAGTTTATATTCGAGAAAAATCGCGTAGGCGGACGAGCATGTATGAATTATGATAATATTAACTCGAACGAATTTAACGAGTTCGCGAGTTTATGTAGGTACGATTTTTGTTTTTTTTTTTTTTTTTTTTTAAATTTTTTCGTAACTTTTATTATACTGTATACCGTTGTAGGATTTCTACCGTTTCAATTTTAGGCATTTGTTTTGCGCATTCGTATAAAAAATCGGCCCTTTCCGGCCGAAATCCGTAGAAACGTCTAGAAGTCTGTTTCGCCTTACGACAAAACCGAATGTGTAATAAATTTCGTGTCGCGTGTTTCGGTACGTTTGAGTAATTTATTGGTTTTTGAGATGTTTTTAGGTTTTTTTTTTTTTTTTTTTGTTTTGTTTTATGTGAAACCGGCGATCGATTGAAAATAATTTTTTAGCGTTGAATCAAAGGTATGCCAATTCAAATACACGTACAAATTAATATAGTAAAACGCGCTAATGTCTATACTTAATTAAATCGATATAAGAAGTAAAATTAAAAGTTTCATTTCAATGAGAACTAAAGTTTTTACAGTTTTTCTCATTTTACATGATATATAAAAAAAAAAAAATTAACTTATTAATTGGACGCTTGCGTAATTTTCAGAGCTAATTATGCGTCCTCTGGCCTGATTATTGTCCGAATATCGTGAAAATGAGTAAACCAATCCCTATCGGTTCGAAATTGTTTTGTAAATAAAAGAAACAAATTATGTAAAATACGTCCATTTGAAAGAAGGAAAATTGTATGTTATAATTATTCAATTTAGCTTTCAAATAAACGATGGAAAACAGTATTCCTGTGGGAATCTACAATCATAATGTGCGTTTTCGAGTGCAACATATTTATATACAGAGTGATTCACTAGGCGTGTTCATCCCATTTTTTATTTATTAAATTTTACATATACCTATTCAAATTCTGATTTTTGGAATTTTTAAGTGTAGTTAATGCCGATATTTTCGAATACTTAGATTTTTCACAATATTCAAGGAGTATGTATCCTGTCGAATATCTCGTTAACGGGTTGACTGAAATCAAAAATGTGAAAACCAAAATTTGTCTATAGTTTTTTTTTTTTTTTGTATTTTCCGTCTATTTATCGCGTTTTTAATAATTTGTTCTCATTTGAAAAACCAAAGTTAGTATCATCACAGAGTGCTATCCTTAAATGTTGTGAAAAATCAAAATATTCGAAAATATCGGCTTTACACTTAAAAGTTCCAAAAATCAGAATTTGAATCATGTAACATGAAACGTTTAACCCAAAAAAACAGTGGGGTGAACACGCTTAGTGAATCACCCTGTATAATGTGTATGTGTGTATATATATATATTTTTTTTTTTGATATTTCCTTATTATTTCTACTATTCCGATTGAAGTACGCGATTTCCATATTCGAAACATTGTCCTCTCTCTATAAAATATAATATATATATATATATATATAATATATATTTTATGCGTATAACTGAAATATTTTTATCTCTACAAATCTTCTAAAAAGGCACTTGTATCCGTTTTTGTTTCACCGCGTGTTTAAACCACCGAAAGTCCCGTACACGCATATATTTTCCCGTCGGTTAAACGCGGCTAAAAACGGTTTTAAATTCATATATTCGGGTCTGCACTCGTGCCGCGTCATCGTCACTTTACGCTATACCGCGGTTTATACGCGTGTACGCGTTTATTGGACGAATCGTAATAATTAAAAAAATTAAAATTCGCCGTGTGTATACGAACCCCAAAAGTTTCGCGCGTCCGTATACCCGGTTTTATACCTTTGTATAATATATACGCGACGGACAACGGTTTTCCGGTGTTTACCGACATAACCACGGTTATCTGCTCGCGGGTCGGAGCGCGAGGCGTTTCGTGTCAAGTCAACCGCGTAGTTCGTAGTGTATACCCACCGTGCACACCGAAAACAGCAAACAGAACTTCTAATGCCATAGTAGTCCGAAATGAAAATGAAAATAAAATAAATATTCTCTTTGACGTCCGTCAAAAGGCACGTTCTCGATACGCATTCAATATACAGTATATGAAAAAATGTCGACCCCCTGAATTTGTTAGAGGAGCCTGCAGAGATGTAAAAAACTTTAAAAAACACTCACGACTGTAACATGGTCAAATACGTATTGAAATTTGACCGAACGTTTCAATCCGCTTATAAAAAATAATTGAAATCTCTGAGTTCGGTCCATACAAAATGTCTAGGGTTGTGTCTTGTGAAGTGTTTTGAAAGACCGTTTTAAACTAATCCCTTTGTTTGAAACGTTTCACGCGGGTATACATAAACTTTTAGTATGTTTAAACGGTCAAAAACACAATAAAATAACTTTGAAATGTTCTGAAGAGTGAAGTTGTTTGCAATATATTTCCTATTTATTTTTAAAACATAAATATAGTTACTTTTGGATACCTAAAGAAGAAATATTTTTTATTTTTTTTTTCAATAATTGTTATTCTTAAATAATTATAACAAATTTATATTATTATAATTTTATATTTGAAAAAAAAAAACGAATTTAGAGCGAAAAACTTTTTATTTTTTTAAACTTGAAAACTCGATAAAAAACCGAATAGCTACAGAAATGAAAGACACGCGGTAGATGGGGGCAGTGAAGTCTATCTGTAATAATTAGTATGAACAATTATTATCATTATTATTTTTTTTTTTTTTTCATTATTATTATTAGTTATACATAAATTAAACCGATATTAAAAACCGCAATTACAATTACGGTTTTTGAGGGTGTGTTTCATAATTATAAATAAATTATGGGTTCTCAGACTTTTTGATAAGAAGAACTGGGCGTAATAAAAATCGGAAATCCTCGTAAATATTAACAGAAACTATACGTATATTTTAAATTCGATCTTAGAAAATCGACCTAATGACTTCCGTGAAACCTCCCATCCCACTTTTTTTTTGGAAATAAAAATTAACAATAGAAATCAAAAGAACAAAAAATGATTTGGCGAATCCGCCGATAATGATTGGTTTCGATTTCGAAAAACGATTTATTGGCAGAGGAGATTTTTCGCGTGCTATCGGCACTTTTGCGCGCAATCGCGTCGTCGCAATAACAATTCGTATGCAACGTATTGCATTCACTCACTATATTCTCGCGTGTTAAACCGGCGGCGCAACTACCGGTAGTGTTGGATGTGCAATTCAAAGAGGCCCTCGGTTTCGGGGGGGGGGGGAGTTGGGGCGATATCCGATATTCCTGCTATTCTCCATACAGAAGACACGTCTAGTTATTGTTTTCTTTTTTTTTCGTTTCGATAACGAAATCATGTTCCTTACAGTCATTATGTGAATGCTAAACAGTAAGTTCCCGGGAACGTCTACGCTATTAGGGCGACTAATGATTATTATTGACTGTGTCGCGTGAAAAAACAATATTGTTTTTTCAGAGTAAAGATATGATCGTTTTTCATTTGTATTACCCAGCGCATAATATTCGGCCCCGGTCCGAAAACGTCCACGCGGACGCCTTGTTATTAACGAGTCGCGCAGCCGTATATTAAACGTACCGAAAACGTTTCTGAACAAACAACGAAAACTCCGATATTTTATCGTTCGCCATAATAATACGGACCGCAAGTGCCTGTTTATTTGATTTTTTCGGGTTTTTTTCTCTCTCTCTCTCTCTCTCTCTCTCTCTCTCTCTTCTGCCGGACACACGCCCCGGACGAGACCGTGACTACCGTAATAATACCGGCCGCGCGCGCCCGACAATAATAATAATGTTCGTCCGTTTCGTGAACGCGTACGTAAATGTCACATTAGCGAAAAAACGAAAGTGACGGTGATTCATTTTGTATTTTTAGACAATAATACGCATATATTATTAAACAAGTTATATCGGGAGGGCGCGCGCGCGCTCGCGCGAACGTTCGCGCGGACGTTTGCGCGTACATTATTTTAGTTTCAGGTGTCTATTTATAGTTGTTTACACAATGCTGTACAGGGGCCGCGGGCCGCGTAATTTCTGTACACCTAGTGGACGCGACCGATATCATTGTTCCGATCGGCCCGATCGGGCGAGCGGAACGGGAACCGAAATGCCGCGGTGCCGGGAGATCGAACATTGAATCCGGCCGGCCCAGCAATACACCCGACCGAACGGACATTTTCTCGCGTTTGCGAACCGTCGACGAGACCGGGGTTTTCGAATACGTTTTCATTCCTCGGCGCGTGGACAAAGGCACTAGGAGCAGCGGCGGATTTACGGGAAGGGGAGGGGTGTGTCCGGGGAGTCTGGAATCAAACACCCTCTCCCCCCCCCACCCGGAAACCGATAAATTCGCAATGGAATATCGTCCAAAAGAGGGACATCTATTAATAGATGTACGTTTTAAATACATGCTACAAGTTTCGCCCCCTAAACGATTCCGAAAAGTGATTTCGTTTTAACGTTTTAAACGAAAATGTGCGTGTAAAAACCAAAACTCAATATAGATACTGGAATGAGAATACGATATTTGTCTTGGACTTTTTACTAAGTTTTTAAATAATATATGAGCGAGTAAAATCGTTTATTAAAATATCGAGTCACCAGGCCGTAATGCCAGACCGCCTGGAAAATACCCGTTTCCAGACAGGCCACTGCGCCTTTGGGTCCAATAATAATTGGATTTGTCGGGTTCTCAACGACGGGTATCGCTGCAGAAATTTCCGAGAGTCCACGGCGTTCAGTTCGACTTTTAGCGCGGTATTCACGAATTCCGCGCGGGATCGAACCCCGACATTTACGGAACACAGTTTTTGCGGCGGTTTTGTTCTCCTCGATACCACTCGCTCCATAACAAATCGCGGTTTGTTTTCGATTAAAAGCCCGACGCGAGCTCGCGAATGGAGGCGGCCACGGAGGCCACGGGACGAAGCGATTTTACAGTAGTAGTATTTTAATATTCGAATGTTACGAAATTTAAATTTCGAAAATCGCGTCGGAAATACGGGTCAATCGGAATAGTCGCGTTCGTCCTGCAATGGGAATTGCGGCTGAAACGAACCGACCGACCCGCGTTTACTATCGTCGAACAACCGCAACAACAGCAATTAATAACAGGGACATCCGATGAAAAATATTCGATAAATATTCCGATAAAAATCGACGGTTTATTACGGTTTAATACGGTTTAATACGGTCGACGATATCGTAGTATTGGTTTACAACAAGAATGAATATATTATTATAATATAGGTGTGTGTTATTTTTTCTAATTTTAACGACGACCGGCCGATCGTTTTAATAAATTAGTAGCGCATATGAAATAGCGGACCATGACGTACGTTATTGAATCGCGTGACATTGTAGCGCAGCGCGAAAGTCAAAAGAACTTTTTACAGTTTTGACACGCTATATATAAAAACGGCGAATAATGATTATTACGATATTTTGATACGAATAAATATATCCTAAAAATAACCGTCGCGCCAACCCGCGAGCGGGGTTTCTTTGTGGAGAACGGGATTACGAAAAACAAAATGTTTAAAATAAATGCGCAAGTCGTTATAAAGATCAAAAGTAAAACA